TGCAGTACGCGGGCCTCTCACTGTTGTGGCCTCTCCCGTTGCAGAGCACAGGCTCCGGACGCACAGGCCCAGTGGCCATGGCTCATGGGCCCAGCTGCTCCGCAGCATGTGGGATCCTCCCGGACCAGGGCACGAACCCCTGTCCCCTGCATCAGCAGGCGGACTCTCGACCACTGCGCCACCAGGGAAGCCCGTAAAACGCACTTTTCATGACTTGAATGTGCATACACATTGAGAAATGGAATCAGAGAGTGCAGAGAATGCCCTTAAGGGATTTAATTTTTTTTAAGATGAGGGAGAAGTATAGTGACAAGATGTTAATTAGGTCAAAGGAATAAAGAGTGTATGACATGAGTCAGTTTTGCAGAGAACTAGTAGAATATACATATTTATAAACATTTATGTGTGTATATATATGTACATGCAACATATAAACATGTACATGCAACAAAAAACATATATGTACATGCAACATATAAACATATAAATTCCTTATTTCAAGGAATTGACTTATGCAATTGTGGGGCCTGGCAAGTCCAAAATCCATAGGGTAGAGGACAGGCTGGAAACTCTGTAGCCAGAACTAATGCTGCAGTCTTGAGGCTGAATTTCTTCCTCAGGGAAACCTTACTTTTCCACTTAAGGCCTTTCAACTGATTGGATAAGGCCCAACCACTTAATCAAAATAGAATTCTTTGCTTAAAGTCAACTGATTGTAGATGTTGAGCACATCTACAAAATACCTTCACCCTAGATTAGTGTTTGATCCAATAACTGAGTAGTATAGCCTAGTCCAGTTTACACATAAAACAAGCCATCACATTCCACTCCTTGTCAACTTGGCACCCATACATACCACCTAAAACCAAACTTAATCTCCAGATGGAAACATGCTTCTGCCTAATCAGATCAAATCCAGTATTGATCCATTGTTATGATGGATCCTATTACATATGGTGGATTACATATGATGAATGTAATGTGAATCATATGTATCTATTGATTTAATGCTAAATTCTCTGATATTGGAAGTTTCTTCTGGTTGTGTAAGATAATGTCTTTCTTCTCAGAAAATACAAACAAATATTTAGGAAGAAAGAGGCATTAAGTGTAAAGCTCTCAAAAGGTTCAGAAAAATATAAATTGATGGATAATGGGAGGGAGAAAGAGAATGAGAACGATAAAGCAAATGTGACAAAATGTTAGTTGATAAATCTATTTTAAGGGTATACAGAGTCTCTTTGTGCTTTTCTTAAAATTTTCCTGTAATTTTGAAATCATTTACAAACAAAAAGTATGGTGGGGTGTGGCAGAGCGAAGTGAGGTGGGAGTTTTCTTCACCTTTTCACTCCACTACGGTCTGTTCTTGCAGTAACCTGAGTGAACCTCTTAGAAATGTGTGGAAGATAGACTCTAGGATGACCAGTGTGGGCCTCGTAATTGCTGCCTATTGGTGTTCTAGCCTTTGTATGACCTCTCTCCTTGATTGTGGGCCAGACCTGTAACTTGCTTCTAGACATATAGAATATACCAAAGGTGATAGGTTATGCATGATTATGTGTACAGGTTAAGGCCCATCTTGCTGGATTCTCTCTATCCCTTGCAGTCTTTTTTTTTTTTTTGCGGTACGCGGGCCTCTCACTGTTGTGGCTTCTCCCGTTGCGGAGCACAGGCTCCGGACGCGCAGGCTCAGCGGCCATGGCTCACGGGCCCAGCTGCTCCGCGGCATGTGGGATCTTCCCAGAC